GGATTCTCAAATGTTACTCTTGTTTCGCAGTTGTTCTAAACATCCTTTAAAATAAGAGCAGACAAGGCTAGGATTTTTGTTGACAATCCGTTATGATATACATGATACAAGTAGGGTTTGCTGTTCACTTTACTGATGTACCTATGTCTATACTACTATATTTGTGGGAGGGTGGTCTAGAGAGATGTGCTCACAGAACCATTTAGGCAAACATGACTTACTGTTTCTTTTGTCACAGGTCTTTACTGGAATTTTTACTGCAGAAGTGATCTTGAAAATCATTGCTCTAGATCCCTACTACTATTTTCAGCAGCGCTGGAATATTTTTGACAGCATAATTGTCACCATAAGCTTAATTGACCTGAGTGTATACACCAAAGCTAAAGAAAGAAAAGAACGGGGAAACCTGTTAGTTTTACGTTCCTTCAAACTGGTAATGGCTCATATATATTCAGTCTCATAAAACTTTTTGCATGAATACAATAGAGAGGATTTCAGTTCCCCCATTCAGTGCAATTTCTGCACCCTCGTATTAGGAACTGGAAACTCATTTTGTCTAATTTCAAACCCATTTAAAAGTTTGACAAACATATATATCATTTGTATTTCACTGTGAGATGATTTTAAAACATGGACTGAAAGGAGTAAAAGAAAAATCCAATGTTAAAATGTAGTTAATGTTGGAGCAGAGAATGAAGAACAAATTCAGAGAAACTGAGAAAGAAGAAATGGAGGAAAAAAATGTAATAAAGACATATTTATACTGTATAATCACCATACACTTGTGCTATCCTGGATTTTAGGGAAGTGGTTGGTTTATCTATTCATACACTATATCACAGTCTTCTTTTTAGTTAGAAACACTTTCTAAAAAAACAAATAAAACAACCTTGGGGAAAGTGTGGTTTTTTTTAATTTAATGTGAAAATGGTTTGCAAACTCTAATTTTTTTTTTTTTTTGGTAAATCCTACAAACCCCTGAAATAGTATTTCAGGTTCGTGAAATCTTCAAAATGCATATTTCGCCATCCTTACCTCATTTCAGTTTGGAATGGAAAGTTGTTGTTCTTCGTATTAACTATTGCAACAGCAACTGCTATATCATCTCCAGCAACAATATTTAGTATTGTCAACTAGTTCCTTCTCCTGTGATGTACTTTTGCAAGTTGTTCTTCTGCCTGTCCGAGACCATCACAGCAGGCAGCTTCTGAGGAGAAAATGTTGTCAAAATTAAAGGAATGGCTGAAAAGAAAAGCAAATCATGTGACAAATTCTACATAACTTTTGAAAAGATAGGCATCTGACCCTGAGAGAGAGAAATCTGTGAGCCTTTCAAATAAATCAGTCTCAGGCTAAGATTATTATTTTATAGTGCCCACATGAAAGAATAAGGATATTTTTCAACACTCAAGCATGTAACTTTACACACATCAAGAGACTTGAAGTTACTCTTGTGTGTAACTATTCACAGGTTTGGGGCCTATGTGATGGATTGGATGGACAAAGGAGGATATAACATGCATTCTCATTTAAATGTTTTTGGGATGTCTCCTAAACACCAATTTAGGACAGGCATCCCTGTTCCAGAAAGCACTTGAGCATGTGTTTAACTGACAAACACATACTTAAGTGCTTTCTTGAATAGGGATGGATTTAAGTGTCAGCTCACGTGTTTTCCTGAATTGGGATTTTAGCTGGTATTTGTGATTTGTTTGAAGGTATCTCACTTTCTCCCAGTGCACAAACAGAGATGTATTGTGTCTATATGTAAACTATATAGGCACGCATTTTCCCATTTACTTATTTCCCCCTTTGCTCTACCAGTCTACTAAATGAAATTAAATTAAAAATTTTAAAATAAAAAATTACTGTTGCCTCTTTGTCAGTCATAGTCGTTACTGGTTCCTCTTTGTGGTAATTTTTTTCTTTTTGATTAATTAGGATTTCTGAGAAAGTTCCCATAAGAATTTTATTCTTCAAGATTGGAGATCTATCATAACATTTCTCTTTGAAGAAAATTACTTACCTTTTCTTATTTTCTGAATGCATTGTACTGTGGTTATAATAGATCCTCATTCACCAGCTCAGAGTTATAAGATGTTATTGTTTTTACGATTTTATTTTCAAAATGGCAAGGAACTGACTCTTTAAAAGATTACAGGCTGTGGAACCTGACATTTGCCAAAGGCAGAGATCCCAAGAGTCATGAGATGTTATAACTTCTATAAATACAAAGAACAAGAATTACAGATAAGTAGTTACCTTTCTGCATCAGCACGTAGACCCTGATCGAGCAAAGTCCTTTAAGCACATGCTTAATTTTAAGCATGTAAGAAGAGCCATTGAAGTCACATGCTTAAAATTAAGCATGTACTTTATGTGGTTTGCTTGTTTAGTGTCTGTGATACTGTGGTGATGGATGCTATACAAACTTAAAATAGATCATTGGCCTGATTTACAGAGGTGCTGAACAGCTATGATTCCTATTTAAGTCAATGGGAATTGTGGGTGCTCAGCACCTCTAAAATTCAGGACATTTGCATGTAAATACTTGGTTATTGAAAATGGAAATAAAGTACAGATTATGATAAACAGGAATTTAAGTTCTGATTCTAGAAGATGTGAAAATGCAGGAAGAAGGAAATGCAACAACTTGCTTGCCTGAGAAACTCACAATGGAAGGTGGTAATAAATTGCTACTGGTGGCATGGTAAACATTTATGTTATGGAATTGTGCAAAGACCACAACCAGGATTGTGGCATCATTGTGCTAAAAGACACAGAGATATAACATATATACAAATCAGTAGTCTGTATTACATTGATCATATACTGACTTAAAATACCCTCCATTTCATTGTGTTTGAGTAGTTTGAAATGTCTGCATAATGTTTTTAACCATTTTTAAACAGTGCAAAATGAAGACTTCTAATCTTCTGTTGTCTAATGCTATGTTTTTTGTTTATACACAGCTGAGGGTCTTCAAACTGGCAAAGTCCTGGACAACTTTGAATACACTTATTAAAATCATTGGTAACTCAGTGAGTGCCATGGGTAACCTTACCCTGGTTCTGGCAATCATAGTCTTTATTTTTGCTGTACTAGGAACACAACTTTTTGGTAAAAGCTACAAAGAACATTGCTGTAAAATAAGTGACGATTGCAAGCCACGTTGGCATATGATGGATTTTTTCCACTCATTCCTTATTATATTCCGAATTCTGTGTGGAGAATGGCTTGAAACCATGTGGGATTGTATGGTGGTAGCTGGGCAACCGTTATGCCTTATTGTCTTCTTGCTGACCATGGTGATAGGAAACCTAGTGGTGAGTTTCCAGATATGTTTCTATTTTTATTGCCTGTACAGTATACAATATACTGACTTATAGAGATAAGATAGGTGAGGTAATGTTTTTTATTGGACCAACTTCTGTTGGGGAGAGAGACAAGCTTTGGATCGTATACAGAGCTCTTCCTCAGGTCTGGATTTAGCAGACCTGAAGAAGAGCTCTGTGAAAATTCAAAAGCTTGTCTCTCTCACCAACAGAAGTTGGTCCAGTAAAAGATATTATCTCACCCACCTTATCACTCTAATATCCTGGGACCAACATGGCTACAAAACTCTGCATAATCTACTGACTTGACTTTCTATGAATGGTAGATTTCTAAGAGATGGTGGTAAAGGGGCCACCCCATGTCAATTGTGCTCTAGTAAATCCCCTGTTTGTCTTTCACCTGTGGAACTTGTGTTCATATTTAAAGTAAGACACTTTTTCAATATTGCATCACTGAACCTTTTCACAGACCAATATTCATTCCAATGAGGAACAATTTTCTAACAGAAAAAAATTACTAGCAACAATTTTCTTTTTCATCTCAAGACTTTGGTGGAAATAATCACTAAGGACTGAATGCTCAAAAGGAGTTAGGCTCCAAATGTCTACTTAGGCTCCTAACTTCTATTGAAATCTATTGAAATTGAAGTTATTGATTAATAGTTACCATTGATTTCAATAGGAGTTAGATGCCTAAATAAAAAGTAGGGACCTAACTCCTTTTGAGAACGCAGCCCTGTGTTTGCATATCACAACCTGTTTTTTGTTTAAGAATTTGTTTCTTTACTGAGTTCTTTGCAGGCAATCCCTGGGCCCATACATGAACCCACTGAAATCAGGATTCTGCCAGAACATAGCTCAATGCAGGGTCATAGTTCAGTTCTCTTTAGATGCAAGACATCGGATCAGCTTCTCCTCTTTCTTATAGTAGGCTAAATCAGAAGTAAATACACTAAAATCAGTGTTATTGCGCTACTGTAAAAGTAGAGTTGCTGAGAGAAAACTAACTCTCAGATGAAATTTTCGTTTTGAATTACTTTTGTCGGCTTTCTGCGAATCAATGGAATCTCTTGTTTGTTGGTTTGTTTGTTTAAACAAATATTAAGATGTGAACATTGTATTTTGTGTGGGAATAATAAAAACCTTAATCTGGAAGTGAGTTTGAAAGTACATATCAGTAACTTAAGAGCCCCAAACATTATAAGGATGTTTTAATTTATCCCCCAAACAAGCATTACAAACCCAGGATATTCAGAGATAATGAAAAACATCAGCCTAGCATGTTTACATGATATCCTCCCACATTTGCAAGCATAGTGCAAAATTAAATATATAAAAAAGACTCATAAGGGGATACAAAACCTGATTCTTCTTTTGCTTACATCAATGTCAGGAGTTACTCCATTGGAGGAAGGGCGAGGAGGATCATGACCAAAGATTCTCATTTTACATTTTAAAATAGTAGATTGGAGCTGGCAGTGATCTCTTTTAAAGAGAAGCTTAATGCAATAAAGCCAGAAACGCACTGGAGACTGGAAATGAGAAAAGGGAAGGGGGAAGTGGACACGGTAATTTGGGTTCCACCAGTGGAATCTGGGTTGTGGAAGTCTCTCTGGTGAAAGTCTGCTTGGAAGATGCGAGGCTCATGGCTGACCCGCACAGCTCTAAATGTGGGCAGGAGAGAATCAGGATGGGTGACAGACATGTTAATCAGTGCATCTGCTTCCTACAGAGCTCCTAGGGAGTCCTGGATGGAACTTAAAGCTGTCAGAAATCTTTTGTGGCAGCAGGGTGAGGGGATGTATGATACCCACCTGGGGATGACTGTCTCTCTGAAAGCAAAGCATCATAAATAATCAGGGGGCTCTGTTCAGCTAAAGAATGTCCAGCAGGGGACTTGATAATCAGCTGCCAGCACCCGAAGGGTTTAAACACCAAGGAAGGGGTAGAAGTATTTAGTGTGGGTTTTGGACCCGTAGCAGCTCCACTCAGGTCTGGTGGTGTTTCACCTAAGAAAACCATCGTGAGACTAAAATCAGGCCCTCACTATTCTTTACTATGCTGAATCTGTGCTATTAGCCTAATACAGGGGGTGATAGTTCTACTGTACAAATTATCTCCAGCTTCCTTTTGCCAATTCTGGCCAGCTAAAGGAACAGTGCCCCCATAATTATGTATATCAGTAACTTTTGTAATTGTCTCCCCCTCAAGGAATTGATGGAATGTTGTGATACACGAACTTTTTTTTCTTTTACACCACTTGGAAGTGCTCCTAGGAGACTGTGACTCTGAGGCAAACATTAAAGGTTCTTCAGTTGCAAGGCCTCATAAGCTGCAGAACCTGGTGGGTCCCAATATGCACTTGGTGAATTGCCTCCAAATGCCATACTCTTCCCAGTTCCCTCAGACACACTGTCTCCCAGACGCTCTTCTCACCAACATCTTTCCAGCTGCCATAAAATCTTCCCTACTTCAATTGACTTGATTTCTCGACTCATCCATCACAGCTGATACTACTAGAGTTTATTCCCAGACAAAAAATGTTAAGCAGGAGGGTGCATAACAGTGATTTAAAGGTAATAAACACTGTAAGAATGTTGCAATCATCCCCAAAACAAACTTTATAAATAGAATGTTCAGAATTCAGGATATACTTAAAGGAAATCTAAACATATTAAGAGATGGAAATGCACAGTTAATGCACCCAAACAACCTAACTCTTTCCTATAGTGATGCCAGGCAATAACCATAAAAATCATTGATGCATTTTAATGCTTGTTGTTCCAGATTAGCTTAAAGTGATTTTAAAAGACGTGTTAGATTTGTTTAATCTTTTTTCCCCCCTCCACGTATCACTATAGGGTCAAGGAAGGCTCTTTGTGTGCTGTACCTGGGCGTTCCATGTTTCAAGATTTATCTCTGCCAAGTTTTGCATAGATAGATAATACATGAATTGAAAACATTTAAGACAAAAAGGGCTGACTGAGAGTGCTAAATTTTTTTTGTAATTTTAACTCATGTTAATGGATTTACTTGTAAATGCTCAGACAATTCATTCAATACTCAAAGAGTAAATGCTGTAATTTTGGGGGAAGATGCAGAGTATTCTTTATACAAATACAAAAAGTTTAAATTCTTGTTTGAAGAGCAAAACTGCACTCAACCTTAATTATATAGTCATGACCACAATTAATTATTAATTTACCATTACTACTACTAACATTTTAAAACATGTTGCAGTAAAATTGTGTGATTTTCATACACAGGCCTGTATTACAGAAAAGATCAGTTTTTATGCCACAAAAATGTTTTTTGTTTTTATTTTTTGGAGGATCATGAAAACATAACCTTATGAGAGCTAAATATGTTCCATGAAAAATTATTTTATGAACAATAATAATTTTGTTTTGTCTTAAGGTTGATGCATTAAGAACAAATTGTTTAGAAACTGACTAATCTTCAAGCGTCCTATTTAAATTTCAAAATTATATTGCCATGATTTTCTTTTCACTTCAATTATTTTCAGGTTCTCAACCTGTTCATTGCACTACTGCTGAACTCCTTCAGTGCTGACAACCTCCAAGCACCCGAAGAAGATGCAGAGATGAACAACCTTCAGATTGCATTTGCTCGGATCCACAAAGGACTTCGCTTGCTGAAACACGCAATATGGGATTACTGTTGTGGAAAGCTCTGGCAACCAAAGAAAATCACCAAAAAGAAAATGAAATTGGCTGCTGAGAACACATGTGTGGAGATTGGGAAAGAAGGGAAGAATTGTAAAGAAAATCACAGTGACAATGTGACAGAGAAGAATGGAGAGAAATGCTCTGTTAGCATTCTTGAAGATTTTATCACCAACCCCAACATGTTTGTCTGTGTCCCTCTTGCTGATGCAGAATCTGATAGTGAGGACTATGAAGATGATGATAATAATTCAAGTAAATTCACAGAAATGGAATACAGTAAACAGGTAAGAAGCCTATTCAGGAGAAGATGTTTGAGACTACAGGCTCTTTAATGGAGCTGGCAAAGGCATAGCATGATCCAGCTGCAGGAAGATGCATTTAGAAAAATTCAAAAGAGAACTAAAGTGTAATTTTTCAAAAGTGAGGGTAATTACCCATTGGAAGAATTTACCAAGAAGTATGGTCAATTTTCCATCTCTTGGAGTCCCTGTGGGTCTTCCACTTCAGGTATCAGGGCATTCCGGCAACATCGATCAGAGATTTACAGTAGCAGTGTCAGCGCAGGTCGCAGGGTGCCATTGGTGCCGCGTCTAGCGTTTCTCAACTGTCCTCAGCTGAAGACAGAGCCCTGGGGCAGTGTCACTCTTCCAAACCTTTCAGAAAAAAATAATATAATTAATTAGTTAGTCATATAGAAAGTTATAGTTAATGTAGCGTTAGTTTTTATTAACCCCCCCCTTTCCAAAAAAGTTTACTTTTTATGTTTATCCTCCCCACACTGAGGGGGAGGGGGTTAACCATTAAGATGCCTGGCTCCCCAGGCTTTAAGCAGTGCGGTTCCTGCCATGAAGCAGTGCCCATTTCGGACTAACACTCTTTGTGTGTTCATGTTCTTGGGGAGGCACACATCCCACAAAAATGCGCCCACTGTAGCAATCTGAAAGTGAGAGCCCAGCATGACCAGGATCTCAGACTCAAAATGATCTTGATGGAGAAATCTCTCCAAACTGAGCCAGACCAACGGACCTTCTCTCCGGGTACGCCCCCTACAGGGACAGGAGACATGCCTTCCTCTAAAAGACTAAGGCAAAGGGCGCAGAAATCTCTGAAGAGAGCACCGCAGAAACAATGGTGGTCTCCTGCCAGGTTGCTGTTTAAGTGGGTCGCCAAAGCCTGGACATCCCGTTGGAGGAAGTGCAGACAAACCAACACAAGCTTGTACAAATCTTACAAGCTGCATCTACTTCCAAAATCACCCTGCCCATCAATGATGCGTTTTTGGAACCAGCAGAGACAGTCTGGCAAACACTGGCCTCAATTTGGCCGACATGCAAAAGGGCAGATAGAAAGTATTACATCCCTGCCAAAGGGATGAACTTCCTGTTCTCACACTTGCCTCCCAGCTCCTTGGTGGTTGACACTGCTAATAAGCGTGGCAAACAACAACAGTTTAGATCAACCCCACAAGAGGCTTGACCTCTTTGGATGAAAAATTTATTCCTCAGTGACATTACAATTCTGGGTCGCCAACTGTTTGGCTTTGCTGGCCAAATACAATTATGATAATTATAGGAAACATAGGTTGTTCACAGTGGTGCTCCCCATGGAGAAACAATCACAATTTCAGGCCATTGTAAGTGAGGGTCAACTCATAGCTAAAATAGCCCTCCTAGCATCTTTGGATGTCATGGACACAGCAGCCAGAACCACATCCATAGTCATTTGCCAGACATCCTGGTTACAATCCTCTGGCATACCTAAAGAACTCCAAACCTATCATTCAACCAAGAGAAACTATTTTCAAACAAGACTGATGAGGTCCTCCACTCAATGAAAGATTCTCAAGCCACTCTTCGCACTTTAGGGATCTACACTCCATCTGCTAAGAAAAGACGATACCAGCTTTATCGGAGGAACAGGGATTCCTCTTCCAACCGATGACAACAGCGTCAATACAAGAACCAACGATATCACCAAGGTTGCAGTGACAGAGAGCACCTCAAGCTCAACCATAGACTTCTCAATCAGCTCCGCCCAGGCCACAATTTTGCAGTTTTGGTCGAGGGTCTAGATGACCTCCCTCACCAAGCAGCACTTTCACCTGATTAGTCCCCATGCTTGGGTCACTGCCTTCACCCATTCTACCACATCTGGGCATCAATAACCACAGACCAATTGGTGTTAAAGATTGTACAATCGGGGTATACCATCCCCTTTACCTCCCGACTACCTCCCCTCTCCATCCCTCTTCAGGGACCCTTCTCACGAGCACCTGTTATGACAAGAAGTTGATCATCTTCTACAACTAGGTGCTGTGGAACGAGTGCCTTTACAATACAGGGAGAAAGGGTTCTACTCCCACTACTTCTTGACACAGAAGAAGAATGTGGGATGGAGACCTATCTTGGATCTCAGAAAACTCAACAAGGTTATACACACTCAAAAGTTCAAGATGGTGACACTGGGCACGATGCTTCCAGTACTGCAAAAGGGGGACTGGTTTTCAGCCCTCGACCTCCAAGATGCTTATTTTAATATTACCATATACCCTTCTCACAGGAAATTCCTGTGTTTCATAATAGAACACAAACACTTCCAAGAGTTTTCTCCAAAAACCTAGCAGTAGTAGCGGCACATGTATGCAAACCGGGAATAATGATTTTCCCTTACCAGGACGATTGCCTTTTCAAAGGCCCAATTTAACAAGAAGCACTGGACTCAGTCCAGATGATGATTGCACAATTCAGGGATCTAGGGCTACAGATAAATGAATGAAAATCCACTCTAATCCCTGTCCAACAACTGGACTTTGTTGGGGCACATCTCGATGCCATAGAAGCCAAGGCATTTCTGCCCCTGAACAGATTCACAACTCTGACAAACCTTATCTCTGAGGTACAATTCAGCACCCAAATACCGGCTTGTACTGTCCAGCAATTGCTAGGACACATGGCAGCCACAACATTTGTGATACAACACGCAAGACTACATATGTGCTGCCTACAGGGCTGGTTGAGCTCAGTATACATACCCAGCAAGCACAGCCTACACAAGCGTCTGACAGTACCACCCCATATCTTGGACTCTACGCTGGTGGACAACACCAGAAAACGTTTGCATGGGCATCCCATTCTAACAGGAACCCCCATTAATAGTAATCATGATTGATGCTTCGCTGCTAGGCTGGGGCACCCACATGCATCAGCATATGGTTCAAGGCAAATGGTTTCTTGCCGAGACTCATCATATCAATCTACTAGAGCTATGCATGGTCCGCAATGCCTGCAGACTTTAGTGCTGTGGAGGCCATCAAGGTTACTGTAATTGATGGAATGTTGTGATACACCAACCTTTTTTATAGAAGTCGTTTTTTTAGAAATTGTTTTTATACAGTAGATTGTGTGTGTGCCCACACAAAATGCTCTAAGTGCATTAAGTCGGCGGACTGCGTCCACAGTATCAAGGCTAGCATCGACTTCTGGAGCGTTGCACTGTGGGTAGCTATCCCGCAGTCTCTGCCGCCCACTGGAATTCTGGGTTGAGATCCCAATGCCTGATGGGGCAAAAACAGTGTCGCAGGTGGTTCTGGGTACATGTCATCAGGTTCCCCCTCCCTCCGTGAAAGCAATGGCAGACAATCGTTTTGTGCCTTTTTTCCTGGGTTACCTGTGCAGATGCCATACCACGGCAAGCATGGAGCCCGCTCAGCTCACGGTCACCAACAT